ATTTATATGATGAGTTAATTTTTGACTCTTATTGACTAGCTGGACTGTTATAATTGTTGTAAGGGGACTTTTGCATTACATAACTGTATTCACTGGACCCTGATTAGATATAGAGAGTCATGTTTCTTACATAGACAGCTTTCTGGGGTTTGACCAGTACTTTTGATCTTAGGCCTGTTCAGGTTATATTACACTTTAAATGGGACATCAGCTGGTAACCTAAAGCCAGAAAGATACTCTACACAAGTATGCAAAAGCATTGCGAGTGTGCCATCCTATTCTTAATCTTACTTCTCGGTGTTCTCAGGGGGTCGATAAAGTTTCCTAGCTGTTATTTTGGTAGTTAACTAGAAGCGTGTCAACCGTTGAACTAACTAGCTGAGTTTTCTCCAAACTGTTGCTCGCCATGATTGTGGTTGACCGTTCTGATATATCTTGACGGATTGCAATCAAGCTTTTTTTTTTGCATTCCCGTTTAGAGTAATGTATGTTTTGGACCTAAAAGTTACAATTATAATGCAGTGTAATTTAAAAAAATATTTTATTGATCCAATCTGGTTGAAACTTCTAATTTGTGCTCGAATTAAAATTATATATAAATATAATATGAATTATTAGTTTTTATTTATTTATTTACATTGTGTTTTTTTATGCATTTTTTTTACTTTTATTCATTAAAATACTCAAAAGTGACTTTAAAGCAATCTATCTTTGCTGATCACTTGTGATTACATCGTCTGAGACAAGCAGTTCAATTTCTTCTGGTTTGCTCCATTTGTTTTGAGTACAGCCTGGTATTTAAGATGGTACATCTAATATAAAGGTTGTAGTTCATTCTTCTTGGTAAGTGATACATTTCAGAAACCAGATATGCTTCTCTTCATGTCCATTTAGCAGCACCCCCAACCTGGTTCCCAATCACCTACCAAGCCTTCAGGGCGACTTTGATAGGCTTAGATAGACTTCTGTCTCTGTTCTTGGAAAACTTTAAGAGACATCTCCTCTTAGGTTTCTAAATGCATGTCTTGTGTTATGAAAAGACAGATGCCAAGATTTATTTTTGCAGCTTAATGTTCCTTTGTGTTATAACACTGATATACACAAACAACCGGATACATCACAGTCTCTCTAGTACCACACGCTCTGATCTGATAAAGTTCCCACTTGTGAACGTTCACACAAACTACTGCAGATTCTCTCGGCACAAACCAGAACCTTTCTGGCCCTCAGGACCTTCAGTGTGATAACACAACAGCTGTACAGATTTGCGGCCTTAAAATAGTTGTTTGCTAGTTTTAGTTAATACCACAGCCAGTCTATTTTTAGCCCCCTTCATAGTTGGAGTTGGAAACCTCCATGGACACAGTGGGATTTGGAGTGGGACTGTTTAGAAGCACCTCTGAATTCTGAAATTGGATCCGGTGCTATCATTTTAAACACAAACAGTCTTCATTAGCATGCAATGTTCTCATTAAAGTGCTTTGTGGCCCCCGACAGTTAAATGAACTATTGCTAAGGCAACAAGCCATATTTGTTTTTTATCTCGCCATTATTTCCAAAGAGGCGCTCTTTTATTGTTGATGTTGTCCTGTTGAATGCGCTAGTTCTGAATTAAAAACCAGTAAAGCTTCTAGTACTGTAGGATGGCGTAATGGTTAAAGATCTTGGCTGGTAACAAAAAGGTTGCAGGTTTGAAACTCAGAAGGACCTTTCACCATTGTGACATGGAACGTAACTTAAGCGATAAAAGCATCTGCTAAATGTGTACTTAGAACTTAGTTATCGAGATTTGCCTTTTGCAACTCTACTTCTATAACTTTCATTTCCATAATTTGATGTATTAATGTGTGAAACAGGATAATAACCTAGAAAAATTATATGTTGAGGCTTTATTTGATCAGAGAATTGTAAAATGTGGATGTTTGATAACAGAATGGACCTAGACCTAACAATACTTTGCCAAAACAATTAATGGTTGACCAATAAGTTGCCAAGGCTCATATGTATCAACCCATATTTGGCTTTTTTTTTTTAATTATTAGGGATGCACCGAAATGAAAATTCTTGGCCGAAGCCGAAACCGAACAAAATTAAACACTGGGCCGAAGGCCGAATACCGAACACGTTTTTTCGAGTTTTATCCCCCATGTATTTTGCCAATTTTTTTTTCACCATTGCATAAATTATAAAGCCAAAATGTGCTTTTTACTGTTTTGTCTTGCTTTT